ATTTTATAAAAGGAATATTGTTTGTAATTGCACAATGCAATGATATTAGAGAGAGAATGGAAATAGAAGTAATGTGATGTCATTTTTTCAAAAGGAAGTTTTTACGATAGGTTGTTTGAAATCGGATTATCAAATTTATAGAATTTGATATCATATTTTAATTGAAAATAATAGAGAGCGAAAAACTAATTGAGAATTACTATTATATGAAAATATATGTATGTACGATAAATATAAGAGTACATTATGCAGCAATGCAATAATTTTTTGTAATTTCGTATAAACATTTTTTTGTTTTGATGTTTTAAAAATGTAATATGAATAATGAAGAAATAAAACCAAGAAAAAGAAAACCTATATGAACTTAAATATATATAATATTTATTATCATAAAATAATTTTTGTTTATTTTCTTTGAAGATATTTTATTAACACATATATATTTTATCAAATCATATAAAATATATGTAAGGATTATTACATATCAAATTGATAATTTTTTGACTCCGATATCTTGAATTTTGTTCAATTTAAAATATAATATAATTCATATTAAATTAGGGAACTTTAAATCATCATTTTGTTGGTTTTATATTTATTTAAAAATTATAGGTTTTTAAATTTTACGATTTTTATAAATTTTTATAAAATTACATTTGAATTTTCAACTCGAGAATGTATATATTCATTGTATTGAATTTATTTTTTTTCATTTTAATAAAGTGAAAAAATATATCATTCTATTTTTTTTTTTAAATTTTTTTAACATTATTGCTCAATTGTTCTCTTTATGATTTGTCGCTATCTGTCTTTCGATCTTTATGTTTTATCTTTTTTCTTCGAGAACAAAGAAACTCTGAATACTTAATCTGTAAAAAATAACAAATTAATCGCAAGCAATAATATTTTTTCGGCTTAATAATATATACAATTTCTTTAAAGAAGAAAGAAGTATTCAAAACACAAAACAAATATATTGTTATTATTTCAAAAAATTTTTTTTAATTGAAACTAATATTTAATTGTTGATAAATAATAATTTAATAATAATAATTTAAAAAATAATTTAATAAATAAAATTTTTAAAATTTAAAAAAAATCAGTTTTTTTTATGCGTTATTTTAAATAAAATTATAAAATTTAAAATAAAATTCATCAAAACTTTAAATATTGTTAATCCTTTAGTGATAATCAAAGAAATAAAATACAATGCCGATTTAAATATTAATAAATAGATATTTTCTCCTTTACATCAATAATTTCAATGACTAAAGTTGGATCAGGAATATATCTATTTTATCAAATCTATGTTATCAAAATTTTTAATCTTCGTATAAAACATTTGTTATTAATGAATTTGTAATATTATATCAATATATTCTAAAAAACTTTAAAATAATAATTATTAAAAAAGAAAGTAAACATATTTATTTTAATGTATCTATAATAAAATAAGTACTTATATTTATATTTTTTTAAAAAATAATAATTTGAAAATTATATTGATATAAAAAGATTATTGATATAAAAAGATTAAATATTTATCTTACCTGAGTTATTATTTATGAAATTTAAATTTTTCAAAATGAAAATAAAATTGCCAAAAAATCATTGAAGAAAGAGAATAGATCATAAATAAGAATGAATTTATAATAATATTTATTTATATTTATAATAATATTAAAGCATTCTGATAGATGGCATAGCAATCGTGTTACTTTCCTTTCAGTTAGCTTTTTCTAATAGATTCTTTCCCTTGATTACTTCTATTCATAATATAATGTTCTGCACACAGTAACCGATCAGATCTATTCGGATTAAAATTTTTAAATATTATACCAAAATTTTTAAATATGATCATATTCGATTAATATTGCATAATAAGATTTAAATACATTAAAACTGTATTATTAATTAATTTATTATAATTGAAATTGATATAATTGTAATTAATATTAAATATAAAATATTAACTATGAAATATAAAATATAAAATCTTAGATATAAAATATCTTGCATAATTTAAAATGCTTTGAAAAATTGAGAAAAGAAAAAATAATTCATCAAAATGATTGCGCGGATTTTTAGATTTTTAAATATCATCGATTTTGAGAAATGATACTTATGATGAATCTTTCTTTGGAATAATATACTGTATTTTCTATTACTTTTTCTATTACTTTATTTTTTCTATTACTTATTATAGAATCGTTATATCTAATAGAAATGCTTACGATTAAATTAAAACAAACTTATATTACAATATATTTTTATATCTTTTAATAAACGATTTATAAAAATTACAATTTTGATATTAGAAATCCTTGGGATCAAAATTTATGTGAATATAAAATTATGATATTTTATAAATAATTTTATATATTATTACAATTTTAATGATTTTATTTTAATGATTTTATATATTTATAATTTGTTTAATTAGGAGAACTTGTAAACAAATTTGAATACGATTATCATCCTGTTAGATGACTATCACTTGACAATTGATAGTATTATTAAATGTCAATAAAAATAATAATAATAGAATAATTGATATTGATTTCAGTATCTTTTGTTTATGAATGATAACTACGCGATAAAATTAAAATTTTTATTAAAGTTTAATAAATTAATATATATATATTTATATTTATATTCAGAAAACAATTTAATTAAACAATTTAAAATGAATTTGAATAATGATTTTTATCACTCAATCCGTATTGTTAAAGAAATAAAATTTACAGCAGTTCACAAACTTATGATAGTAAAAATTGATTATTAAATAGAATATTATTAAAATTATTTTTTGGACATCATATTCTTGTAATTTTTTAAATAAATATTCGCAAATTTTTGTATTCTAATAGTTTTTTAAATAAATAAATAAATATTCAAAAAATCATAAAAAAATATTTATTTTAATCTTTTTTGAAAATCGTGTATTAATATTTGATTCAATTATTAAATAAATTTAATAATATAAAAAACAGAAAATATTTTGAAGAACTTATTATAAGATTAAAATATTTATTATAACAATTATAATTTAATAATGACTGTTTTTTTAGTTTAGTTTTTTTGAATTAAATGGCAATTTAAATAAAAAATCAAATATTTAAATATATGTATATTTGATATATA